AATATTTTTAATATATTTTTAAGAAATTTTTCAGAAAATTTTCTTTCTTTTTAATAAAAGATTATTATTTATCTCAATTAAATGAAATTCATAAAAAATAATCTTCATTTTTAATGCATTACTATTCAAAAACCAATCGTTCCCTCGAAGCTCTCGATAAGAAAAGATCGTCACGAAATCTGTCAGAGAGAATCACTCGATAGAGATCTAGGATACCTTATGTAAACATATCTTTAGAAACGGATGTGAGCCCAGTGGACCCGAAAATAGACGTCGAGTCAATTAAACTACTCTCTGACACTTACTTTTACATCAGGTGTCTAGACGCCGATTCATCCCTGACTTACTTCGCATATGGAATCTTCTCTTTTCGAGAGATGATGTAGCTGGGGGCTAGATCGGATTTTGCGCTCAAGAGGCAAGAAGAATAGCCACACACGGCACATACACATATATACACGTATCTACTGATGCACGTGTAGCATACGAAGAGCCTTCCGCATCGCATAGAATATTGCGTAACGCCATTTATCCCCGATTACAGAGCAAACCGCGCATCCAAGCCTTCACTCGCACGAGTTACGGCGGCCACCTATCTGCACCGCGATTCTATCTGTCGATGCCGCGCTCGGCGTCGAGTAATAATTAGTGGCAATTATGCTGAGATTAATTAAGCATCTCCTCGATCGCGCCGTTTATCGAAAAATTGAATTGTGAAACTAGATTCAACTCTTTGCGATTCGCAAAGGAATCAAATCTGAATCTCTTCTATAGCTAACACCTCTCTATAAATGAAACATTTATGACAAAGAATTCTCCGATATATTTGGCTAATAGAGAAAATCACGTTTGCGTAAAACTTGTGTCTTAGACGGTGTTTTAGATTTTGACAAGATTAAAGAAACTCTCTTTGCTACTCGAGTGTACTTGTATGCGTAAAGTCGTTAACGAAGCAATGCGCACAAGTAGGCTGAGGTACATGAGCGTGATGAATGGAGAGATGGCCCACGCATATGCCGGAATCCGACAGTGTTTGCGAAACAGCTGATTAATGTGGTGATCGATGTGTCAGAATTAACTTTACGACGCGTGTCAAATTTAAGCCTTATCTCTAGCATTATTCCGAAAAAACATATATTTCTTCCGCGACAAAAACATCGCTCAGAGAAAAAAATCTCGAAAAATCAAGCAATTTTCGAATCGGCAATTTTATCTTAATCGTATAAATTCAATATAATTTATTAATTCGGCTTATTGTTAAACCGCAATGTAAATGCGTTCTAGAGATTCTCTTCTTAATGTACAATAAATCTTGCATAACGTAGAAAAGCGCGAAATAATAATGTTAAAGCGTGAGGTAAAAGGTAACGGCGTGTCTCTTTTCGACGAATACTCGGCCTATCACGCCAATGAGATTTGTAATTTCGACGAAATTACTGTCGGCCGCATGTATATTTGTTTTATGGTAATATGGCCGCGAAATGACCTGGTATCACCATCGCAATTACGAGGCCATCGAAAAAGGTGCTCGAAGTTCGCGGTATAAGCACTTAGGCGGCTGATGGTTGACCAATCATGTATACACACGTATATCATGTAAATATATATAATACAGATAAAATAAATAATATCGCTAATTAATAAATTATGCATCCTTTTTTTGGATAATCCATTTAACATCAGAATGATTTGGATTTAATAGCTATTCAAAAGAATTATATTTCAAGTGTCTACAAAAGTAGATAATAATCTTTTAAATCATAAAAAATATTCATCTTTCCTTTCAAGAAATATATCTATTATTAATTAACATATTATAAAAATACAAAGAGTGTGATTAAAAACGTGTTGGTTTAGTCGTTATGAAAATTTTACCTTTCTATCGAATAATTAATTAACTCTTTAAAGAACTAAGAAGATAGATAAATAATCATATAAAATAAAAATTTAAATAAAATGTATGATATAAAAGTATTTTGACTATCACTAATATGTAAGGTCGATAACAGATATGATAATTGCGGCAGAGCGTGCGTTGCATACAAGGAAAAGTGCACTTCAAAAAAATGAGCGTACCGCAAGATTTTTATAAGTACGATGCTAATGATAGTAATAACATTTGTTAATCATCTTCCATTAAGTTCCATACTGCAACGCGTAGGATAGCGTGCTCATTGAAATCATCTTTCTCATATACAGTGAGTTGTCGAGCGAGCAGTGCGTCATTAGAAAAAAAAAAACGGCATAATTATATTTTAACTGATGTTAACCTCCTCTTTCATAAGTGCTAATGTTGTTCAAACAAAAGAAAAAAAATTAACAAAAATATACCTGCTTTCGTCAGGAAGACAAAAATAATAATTTTTCAATTAAGATAAAATCTTAATAAATAAATATATTCGATTTTATTATAGATAATATCCCATCTTGTCAATACCGAAGAGGCGTTCAATTTTTTTTTTATTATACACCGATTCTTTGCTCAATTTTTAAAGCCAAATGCACTCGTAATAACTTGTAAATATATCGTTGTATATAAAATCGCTATGCAAAATTGACAATGCCACGACAAACCGATGCTCGGCGAAACCGAAGATGTTACGTTGTCGGACGAGAGAAGTGTGTCTCGCGTTACTTGCTTCATTAAAGCAGAGCAAAGACATCGAGAGCAATTAACCGCGAAGATACATACACGTAACGCTGTTGATCGGCGTTACGCGCGAAATATTGTGCAAACCATATTGCACGATCTATGCGAAAACTCTGGTCTAAAGAATG